CATCTCCCCAACCAAACATGGTCTTTTAGTTTGAAAGAGAGATTATATCCTAAAACAAAGATCAGTGATCTATTCATGAGTCTTTTGGAGGGAGGTGAAACCCACGTAAAGCAGCCTTGACTATTATTGAATCATTTGGAATTATAGACAATAAAGACAAACTTTCATCACAAACCACATGAAGTTGGATAGGAACTGGCACATTTTCAGCTTTAATTGGTATTCCAGATGGGCAGGATTTGTAAAGGATATAAACACCAAAAGAATATTTATTTTCTTAAAAGGGTCTCTCTTCACTAATGGAGAGATACAGAATAGGGCCATCTTGCTAAGTTACAAATAATTTTCATGGCTACAGGGATGAGACGATACTTCAAGAGCAGACAAAGCAAAATGGGTGATGTGACTGGCAGCTTATCAGGAAGAAATGTGGGTGATTGACTCCAGATCACCAAATCCAATTCAATCCAAGGTAAGCAGACTTGTAAAAGCCTCACGTAAAGGACATTAGTCTTCATATCATAGAATTACAGGAAGGGACTTTTTAGTTCGCCTTGCCTGGTCCTTGCTCCTGCACTTAATTTTAGGCAGCTCTTAGTTATACATCATAATGGAGAACATATAGAAACATCTGCATGCACAATGCAGATACACACACACACACAAACATACACATACAAACAATTACATACACATTGTCCCAGAAATCTTAGTGTATTAATGGAGAATACATAAATATATTTGTATGTACAACACATATAAATACACAAACATATACATGTTGTCCCAGAAATCTTAGTGCAAAATGGAGGAGCATGCACAAATACATTTGTATGTACAACACACAGATCTACACACACACACACACACACACACACATATACACACAGTATCCCAAAAAGTCCTAGTGAAGTTTTAAGCTTTAATAATTTCAGAAGTGTAAGTGCTATAAACTTAGCAAAAGTCATTTGAAACTTTACTTATTTAAATTTATTTTACACTTATTTTGTTTAGTGACTTTCAAATAATAATATTTTAAGAAGATGTGCTAAGTGTGTGACACTTTCAGACTTGTGAATCAGTATGGGATATTCTCTTTACTGGCCACCTTAGTCACTTGATCTATCTCCAGTAGACTTTTCTTGTGAGCTCACATCAAAATGGTCACGGATACATCAAAACCTCATTCTTTGATTGACCTAAGTCCTTTCAATCACTGAGCAGCAGATGAAAGTTTTACAAAGTTCAAAAATCAACCAGAGTGATATATAGTATAAGAAAGTGATTATGTTGAATATTTAATAAGAAATATATAAGTACTTAACAATTTACTAACATTTTCAAACTTTTTTTTTTGTAAATCTGCAGCAATAAAATTTCTGAACTTATTAAAGTTTAAAGCTGTACTGAGACTTTTGGGACACCCTGTAAAGGAGAGACAGAAAAGAAATGCATTTTTAAAAAAAATTCAGTTGTAGATTTGCCTTGTTAATCATGTTATAGCTTGGCTAATGTTTTGTTTATGTAATGTTATGTAATGTTTTGTAATGTTTAGTTTTGTATTCCATGTGTTCCAGTCCACTCCATTTGTATTCCATGGTATTCCATGAACAAATATTGACTGATGGAAAGCAGTAGAACTAGCTGGAAGTGGGGAGGAAGGGTGTGTGTGTGTGCAGCTAGGTTGCACAATGGATTAAACACTGGCCCTGGAGTCAAGAGGACCTGAGTTCAAATGTGACCTCAGACACTTACTAGCTGTGTGACCCCATTTACTAGGTGTGTGACCCTGGGCAAGTTACTTAACCCCAATTGCCTCAAAAAACAAAACAAAAACAAAAACCACAAACTATCTGGGGATTCAAAACTAGCCACCAGTGATTCTATATGGAAAAGTGAGAGCCTTCACCAAATATGTTTCTACTTTGGGGGGACTACTTGGTTTTAAGTCACTCCCAAACAGCAATAACAACAAAACAAATGAAGCATTCACATGATTTATTAAACAGAATCTCAAGTGAGTGATGTTGGAATCAAGAAATGAGAGAGACCCCATTTGGATGTGCTGGTAAAGGCATATTGTTTCCTCCTTCCCTTCTCTGCAACCTGTCACACGCTTGTCATCATCCCATCCAGGAAATAGATGGGTGAGTTGGCATCATGAAGTGAGGACTGAAAAAGGAGTGTATTTCAAAGTGAAGCTGCTACCTCAGATGTCAGGATCTGCTAGGCAACAGCAGTAAATACACTTCGACCTTTTCTACCTGTCACTGGGATAGAATCATTCCAAACCATTCTCCTGAGCACGCGGGTACTTTCTTACTGGCCAATGCAGAACTCAGGTGTTAAGGAGGAAGGTTGGGCAATAGGATGAGGGATAGACCTACTCCAATGCCAATGGAATCCCTGTCATTAGTGAGTAGCAATGTCCCTGCAGTCTTCTCACTCCGTTCTTTATCAGTCTAAAGTAATGGTTGCCAGTTACTGCCTGAGACCCAGCTATTGATAACTCCTTTCTCCCTTTCATGGAGCTGGTGGGGGATAGCATGGTACCATGTCCTTTGGCACCGCAGATATAAAGAAAGCACAGGGGACAAGACATGGCTATGCTCACATAGTTTGAGCTACAGACTTAGTCCCTACACCTTCTCAACATACCTCCCCTCCATTAGTTCCTGCTTCCTTCTGTATCCAACAGGGTTAGCTACTATTCTTGCCTTTGCTTGCATGGTGAAAATACACTACACTCTTTTGCATAGCAGCCTTGGGGAAACAACACAGTTCCCGAGAGGCCCACTGAATTTGCCTCACTGAGAATGCTCAGATGACAGATTAGATGAAATTTATTTCCCTAGGGTAACATATCTCTTGCTCCTTACTGACAAAGCAATGGGTGGTTGGAAGAGGAATTAGTGAGGCAGAAGTTAGGACTAGGGCCAAAGACCACGGATACATAGCTAAGGACTATGATGAAAAAATGGGATCTGGAGAAGAAACAATGGAACCTAGCTGTTGGGATAGTAGATAGTGAGCTGAGCTTAGAGTCAGGAAGACAATCTTCCTGAGTTCAAATCTGGCTTCAGACATTTACTAGATGTGTGACCCTGGGAAAGTCACTTACCCCCATTTGCCTCAGTTTCCTTATCTGTAAAATGAACTGGAGAAGGAAACAACAAACCGCTCCAGTATCTTTGCCAAGAAAACCTCAAATGGAGTCATGAAGAGTTGGACGTGATTGAAAATGACGGAACAATACCAACAATAAAGTTATTGGATCATAGATCTGGACTAGAAGGAACCTTATGAGTTATCTAGTTCAATGTCTTTTATAGATGAGGCAACTAAAACCCAGTGAGGTTAATGACTTGTCCAAGATAAGTAGTTGTAAATAGTAAGTAATTAAATTGTAAGTAGTAAGTAGTTGAACTAGGATTTGAACTCTGGCTGCAAGTCTCTGAATTCATTACTGTTTCTACCATACCCTACCCTCATCAGCAGCTGTGAACCATTCCACCGCAAGGAGAACCAGGGGTAGGAGCAGGAATAGAAATAGACGGTAGTGGTTATCCTCTGCAGTTTTTTCATCTTTACATCTCCCACAGCACTTTGCATATTTCCAGGCCCGGAAGGGCTTCGTTGAGTACCTTAGGGGCTCATTTTTTTTTTTTAATGAATTAACGAATGGGAAATGAGACCTTGGGTCACTTGATGTCTCTGGGCCTTAGTTCCTTCCTCTGTAAAATTGGAGGATTGGACTAGATGACTATTGAGCTCCCTTCTAGTTCTAAATCCTATGGTCTAGGATAGGGGGGATTTCCCCAATTCCTGCTCTTCTGCAACACAGTTCCCAGCAGTGAACAATAAGAAAGTACAAGGCAAGACAGACTCTAAGTTGGACTGGCCTGCTTCGCATATTTGTGGCATCTCTCCTAGGTATAAGACTTCCCATGCTGCCTGAACTTGCTCCCTGAAACCTGGCTGGATTGTTTGAGAAGGCCCATGGACTTTTTCCTTTGTCACTATCATTCATTTGCCTCCTGGGCAGAAAGTGGGCCCAGGTTCAGTTTGTCTTTTTGGGGGCAGGTGGGGAGGAGGAGGCAGGTCTTTCTTATATACGGTGGAACCCAAGGAAGCCCTCCCCAGTGCTGGAAGCAACTTAAGATTCTTAGGAATTTACAACCACAGGCAATTTATGGTCTGTCCAGTTATTTATTGATTTTGTGCCACGTGTAAGCTGGAACTAGTCATTTGACATGCACCCAACCTGTGGCTGGCTGCCCAGAGAAGCATGGTAGGACAGGTGGCCAAGAGCATGTGTCAAAGGGAAAAGCAGGAGATGGGGACACCTCCAACTTTCCAAAGCAGCAATGTTGGCCTCTGGGTGAAAGAGCTGTAGGAGGAGAAGCTGCAGGGAGTCAGGATGAGTGCCCTGGCCTATCCCATAGCCCTACAGATACTTACCAAGGAATCAGCCATAGCTGCCCCTTGATGAGATAGCTTTGGGTGGGAGAGGCCTTGGGGAGACTGAGAAAGCCTAGCAGTCATAATATGTTTAAACCTGGAAAGGACCTTAATTCAATTACACTCAACAAGCCTTTATTAAGGGTCCATTATGTGAAGGGCACTGAAGTTATCTCATCTAGCCTCTTTGACTTCAGGCATAATTTCATCTAAAAACAATCCCAGCCAGCTCAAAAATCCAGCAAGTGGTTCCAGTGAATGGTTTGAAACTTCACCAAAAAAGATTCCATAGCCTCCCACTTCCCTGTGCAATACATCCTCTACCTAATAACTTTGAAATGCGTTCATGTCCTTTCATATCCTTCTCAGTCTAAGCTCCCAAGACTCAGCCAAGTTAGATGATCTTACAGATAATGAAGAAGAAAGTTGTTTTCCACTGATTTGATGTATGCAGGGATGCCAGCGGGCACAAGCCAAGCTAAGGGGGCAGAGCAATGTTTTCCCACTGCTTTGGCTTTATCAC